TTATGCATTCCTTTCTCATACAATTTGTTTTTTCTCCGAAAATCTATCTCAAATCTTTTGTTTTTTCTCCGAAAATTTTAGATTTATAACTATGGCACATAATAGTAGTGTCAAATCTTTAGCTAAAGAATTACACACCATATTCACGTTTATTATAACCCACTTCAAGAACTTCACCTAAGTTACACAAGAACGTGGGAAAAATACGAAACGTTTTTAGCCCATTGACAACATTAATAGCAGTATGTACTATAACAACATTAGGCACAAAGGTATCAAAATCTACACTGCAGATTTTACCGATATGTTCACTCAATCTTGAACATTGCCTTATAATGAATAATATGCGAGAGTTATTAAATATAAGCTCTAAAAATCCCAATAAGTCTTTAATTGCAACAAATGTTTATAGAGTATTCTATAGAGACAATAATACATTAAATAAATCAGATATTACATAACAGAACACCTGTTATATCTAGTAGACTATGCATTGAGTAACAGTTTTTGTATTTTTGGTAACAATATATAATATGCACAGAGCAAAGGAATTCCACCGGGAAGCAATTTTATTTAGCCCCTTGTTGGCAGATCTTACACTTTCAGTTATGAAATACAGTTATTCTAACTATAAGAAAGTTAGATTCAACAATGATAAATATTCTCTACCGTATAGATATATGGACGATTTACTAATAATGCATAATCAGAATGAAAACAAAATGGAAAGGTTACCAAACGTAATATACAACAATACACTTGTTTAAAAAAAACTCATACCAGTGAAAAAAGTAGCAATTACTTAGATTTGTCTATTACAAAAGAAGATGATTACATAAATACAAATTAAATTCCCACTAATATATCCACTAAAAATAAAGGGGCAATTATTTATACTGAAACTCTGGGAACAGCAAACACTTATAGTCGGTTTATTAGCTTTTGTATTGAACTTAGGGATATGGTATCAGTTCTAGCAAATTATGGCTACATAAGAGAGTTTATTATATATAATATTATTAGATGTATATCCAAAAATAAATTTGTTTGCTATAAATTTGCGTTACCATACAATGTGAAAAATATCACTAAATTGGTTAACACATGCTTCAATAGGTTTTTATGTTTCCCACTTGTCTGTTAATAAAATACAGTATCTTAGGTATAGATTTGTGATATGATATTCTTCGTGAAACTATGGTTTCTCTAGGAGCTGCAAAACGTCCGACGCCATCCGGTATGTGCAGAGAAGAAGCTTGTTAGAGATCTTCCTGATATGGTAGCGGAGCAGCCGACGTTGGCAATGGTAAACCGTGTGATAATTGACTTGTTCCTGACTTTTATCAATTCCATCCTGTTGCAGTATACATGGGAGATAACGTCAGGGCTGCAATCCATGTTCTTTCACTAATCCGGTCTCTACACAT